TAGTGACTAGATTCACAGATTTTGAGTGTAACTTTAAACCCTTTCTTTAATTATGGCTTTTCAGTAAAACCTGTCCAGCATTGTTATATTCTTCCATTATTAAAATAACAACACTAGACAACCATGACCACTGAGTCATCATTTCAGAGGTATTTCTTTACTAGTTTCCTCAGTGCCTTCAACAGTGGCAGAGCTTCTAATCTACTGCCTTCATTGGAAATGTTCTTAAAAATTTTAGGGTGATATTCAGAGATGTATCTTCCTTGAAAATAGCACAGTTAAACTTTAAGAGTTGAGCACAGAGTAAATGTTTTATGACATTTTGAATTATATCATTATATGTTTTATGATAATGTTTATGTCATAAAAAGTTTTATAAAATTTGCTAAATTTTAATTCCACAAGAGTCATGGGTCCTGAATTTTGGATGTATTCTGTAAGTTAGCCAGTTTAAGGTACTCTAATTCAAAAAATATTGCGCCATAATGCCTAATTAAAGACAAACAGTAGTAGTTAGATAATAATTTCTGCATCAAATTGTAAAAATCTTGTTTAAGTTGAGCTTGAGTTTATTTACTTTCATGTGTCCCAAATCATCTTGCTAATGCCTGCTTCCAGAAAGTCTGCATAAGAGCCATCATTCTCTGCATGCCCACAGTTTGTTATTGGTTGCCCACTCTATACCACATGCTGTAACATGTGTCACTGATTTATATACACCTCAATGGATTATGCAGCCATTCTGTCAGTTTTCCACAAAAATTCTGAGCTGATAGCCTGGGGAGACAGCTGTATGGATGCAAACAGATGTTTCAGAATATCATACAAAAGCAAAAAGAATTTTTTCTAGAGGTATATCTTTTGGGATGAAGGGAAGCAATATTAATCCCTTATTTGCCAATCATAAAGAAATGTATTTATTCAGCCATTGATAATATCAATCAATCAATTTATTATTACAGCCAAAGGTGAACATATAAATTAAACATTCAAATAAAACAAAACTAAACAAAACCAACACAAGAAGACATAGCAATGTATTACAATTAAAGATGTAATCAATGAGTAACCAAGGTCTGCTTAGTTTTACAGACAGTATAACAAAAACTAGCTAGCTTCAGAAAAACTGAATCATACTGACCTGACAATAAAAATACATTGAATATAGTCTAATGCTGGATAAAAACACGTAATAAAATGAATTATAAAAGATTATTAAAATATCTAAAATGTTTATGTTTCTGGCAAATCCCCAATGTTACTGCACAGAATCTAGCCACCTGTGCCATGATCACTGCCTGCTCATTCTTAAGCAGCCACTGGAGATAAATACTTTCTGAATGACCAGGATACCTATCAATTATGGGGAGGATATGGTTTTCCCGAATAGCTCTATAGAAGGAACACCAAAAGAGTATGTGTCCAATGGTCTCCACCTCTCCTGAGCCACAGGAGCAGAGTCTTTCAGTCAATGATGTTTTTTTATAT